TTCCGAACCCGTCTTGAAAAGGTTGTATTATTCTCTCATCATACGGCGCTTATCTCGGTCGGATAGAAATCAGGCTTCTTTACGCTATCATATCCTGTAGGATCCTCGAGGAAATTGTTCGTTGTAATGACGAGTAATTGTATTGGATGTGCAGGCCTAATAGCATTCCAATGTACCCACGCTTCTGAATGATCCAAATGCATGGCGCATACCGAAGGAGAGAGCGCCGAATTTTTTTGTTTTCCTTATTTAGAACTTACTATGATGGCATTGGCGTATTGATCCTTGACCTTTTGCAACATACTTCCGTCCGCACTAATCCATGGCGAGCTCTCTTTGGTTCCATCCTGAATCAAATTCCGTATCATTAGTCATCCGTAGGGTTAACATAATTAAGTCAAGCTCGTATTTATTTTGCTAAGGTATTAAATTTCCTGTATTGCAATAAATTTTACCTGCAACCAAGGTAAGACGTAAGCGAATTCGTTCACGCTCATGCCTTGAGAATTGGCGGCGGTCAGAAAATGTCGTGACGACTCACGAGTGTTGGAGAATAGGCAGATGACGACTGGAAGAGACTTTCAACAATCCTCCAGAATTATCACAAGATGCTGTGCTTATGGACAAAATTCTTTGCTCAAGGCCAGAATCGAACCCACACAGATTTGAGGTGCGGGTTCGATTCCTGCCTGTGCGAGGAGTTTTGTTAAATAGTGATTTGGCGGAAACCTAGTAGCCTTGCGAATAATCATTATACATGGGAAACTTACTACGTGCGGACACTTTAAGTTCGGAGAGTAGCCCTGAGGCCACCATTGCCTTTGTGTCGGCCCATTCGTCGAATATTATCTGCAATGTACCCGCATTTTTTTCATTTAGGAAGCGGTATAGGGCAAGCATAAATAGGGCGGCAGTGGTGCAGTGCAAGTGGCACGCTTACCACGCGAGCGGTCCGGGGATCAAATCCTGGGTCGTGAGTCGCCCGGCCAACCAAGCCTTCCCTCCGGGGTCGGTTAATTGGTACCAGACTTGTCTGGGAGGATAAAAACACTGACTTGTACATCGGCTGGCCCCCAAGTCATTGTATAGGCCACATCGCATTCAAACGCCACTACGAATGTACAAATGGAAGTAGAATGCGTGCCGCATCCCAAAAAGGGATTGATCAACGGCAAATGCTTTATCCTTTCCTTTATAGGAGAGCAATACAATTTGGAAGACTCGAGGCAGCCCATTTCCTCTAGTTTACTGTGAAAGTTCGACTTCTACACTAACTCGTTAGCGGTTAATTCAAATGCACGCGGGTTAGTTGACCTAAAAACAGGCAAGTTCGTACCACTCGTCTGGCCCCGCCCCTCTGTATTCAAAGACTTTGTTTTTGCTTCATCAACAGTTCCCTTTGATTCTTTTTTTCAATTCGGTAGTCGCCACTTTCCTTTCAAGCACCATAATCCCACGGATTCGATCTGGGGTGTTGCTTCAGAGTACTGCACTATAATTGGATTTTATACCTTTAAGAAAGAGGCGGGCCCACTAAGGGTGTAGAGCGAACCACATTCACCAGGATTTCGCCCGTAGCGCTAAGCGGGACCTTACCCACTAAGCTACCTGCCCTTCAAATGCGTGCCCCTCGTGTCGAAACTCTAGCCGCGGTCACCAACCAGAATGTTTCAACAGAGACGCAGAAAAAGGCAATCAGCGTTGATAAAGTCAAAATAGAGCATCGCCTCAGGGCAGGGAACAGCTAGCAATGAGGGTTCCTTTTCGTGGGGAAGGGCGTCTGGAATGTCTTTTTGGTTCTTTCTACATGCGCCACACTTTCATCACTGTCGCACCTATCTCGGTTTCTCCATGACTTGCCCTTCAGTTATCAGTGAGTGGCGCCTTTAAAGGAAGTGGGTACGAAAAGGAATTTTCACATCTGCGGAGAACCTGCTCCCCACACAGAGCAACTAGCAGGCCGCCAAGGAAGCGATGTGTGGCGCTTGCACTGCGAACAGTGCTGTGGTTGCTGAGCAGGACCATTGCGCCCTTCCGCCCCATGCGCCGCCCCGCCCCATGATTCATCGGTGGCTTGGGCGAGCCGTGTTGCCAGCCGCAGCGCGGTTAGGGCGCCATGCCTGCTGTTTGTGTTTGCCCGTGCCAGCACGCGTTGCGTAATCTCGTCCACGCGTGCGCGGTCTTCGCCGCAGTCCATCTGAGAGCCGCAATAAACGGCCCAAAAGGGGGTCCCATTTCTCGTTTCCTGGACCGATTTCGCTGCTTCTTTCGCCACTGACGTACCATTGAGGACCCCCTCGTCCCCTCTAAACCCCATTCAAACCTAGCGTAACCGCTGCCTTTAAGGAGAGACCGCAAAAATGTGTACCGCTCGGGATTTTGGGAAGGGAAAGCTATTCACTTCGGTAGAGGAGCCAAAATGAATAGGATCAGCTTGGAACTGTTCATTTGTTTCACTACCGTTCTTGTCGAAGTGGTGTTTCAGTTAGGTAAGCCATCAGAATCTGATGGAAGGGTTGTTATGTATGTGCTTGGAATTCAGTTTTGTCCACCTTGGAACAAAAATGGTAATAATAAAATCAGCATCGAGCATATTATCCATGGAGCTAATGGTCGAGGACCGTGGCGACTACGAGGATTACAGTTTCATCACAATTCTAGTTGCTTAAGGGTGCTGAATTCACCAAAAATAAAAATCCTCTGAGAATACCCATGCTAAAAGCCAGACTTGCCTCTGTACTTTGTCTTACATCACAGTGAAGACAGCGATTTCGATGCATTACTCATCTGACTGCATGTGATTTGCCCAACCTTTTCGCTATGGTTCTCAACTCTAATAATTCCCACACTGCAGGCAAAATGATATTCGGAATCTCTTCAATTACCCACACTGCAGGCAAAATGATATTCGGAAGCTCCTCACTACCACAAGAAATGGGTACAAGTCAGGGAGCGTTTTAGAACTCTCAAAAACGATGCAGATACCTTCTTGATGACTTTGATTTGCCTTGCATGAAAAACTTCTTCGAAAAGCCGTTGTGCGATCGTATGCTAAGGTACCAGTGTTAGTAACGATTGCTACCTGCAATGTTATCAATCATGAATCTTTCCAGAAGGAAATACTTTGGCATTCGAGCAGACCTTAGTCCATCCGTAGTGATTTAGTAGTGCTGAGGTCGCTTCTGCTAGGGAGCTCGTAGTCCTCAGCTGTAATGAAATTTTATGTCAAATCCCTCTCTTTCAGTTAAATTGCTTGTAATATTTGAAACACCTACAAAGTACTTTGCTACAAAAATGACAATACCTGCGTAAGCATGGGTATAAACTTTCTACTTTTGGTTTGTTTCCTGCTGCCACTCAAAGAATGGTCCTCAATTTTTATAGGCACATTCCGTAATCACAAAGCCAACCGTTGCGCGGATAAGATTGCTGGGTTATCAATCGCTCAGACAGGGCCCTTCCGCTAACGACTTAGAACCGCAATCGCGTACACTTTAAGTGGCCATGCACGTCCCTGTTGTAGATCCATGCCTCACCTCTGCAATGCTTTCCGGTTTCCTTCTGTCGTTCTCTTACCTCGGCGGAAGACCAGTGGAGTAATTCCTCTCGGAGGTATAATAGAGCTGCATACAAAAGTCACAATATGTCATTGATTCTGCTCGACAGAGCGCGACAAGGGCGCTTGTCCTCCTAATGCCCCTTACCATTGGCCTGGCCGTTGTTTGGAAGCGGCTGCAATCCTCTTCTCTGTACCCTCTCGAACGGCGCGCCCTCTCGCGTTTTCTGTTCACTCTGCTCGCTTTGAATCTCCGTCGTAGCTGTCGTACCACCCGCGACCTCACAGGAAGTATAGGTCATTGGTTTTAGTGTTTTTATGACTTATTATACTTTTTTTTACATATTCCCAGCCCACTCCCACCATCAACTTCATTAATGAGCGCCTTTACGCACCAGCTTGATCCTGGGGTTACTTCAGTATAAGCCAGGTGTATGTGGCGCATCACGGAGCGAAAGCTATGAAGCGAAAGCTATTGGCATCAAGGGCACCTATTTCGATTGATTTTAAGTAGAAAATTGCTAGCAAATCTTCATTCATGGCGTCAGGATACAACGATAACGGGAAGAAGTCTTCGAAGAAGTTTTGGAATAAAGTAGAACGAATCCAGTTATCTTACCGAAACTCTAGCCAGTGTTGGATACGCCTTCTTATCGGACAATGAGTTCGAAGCTGCCATGTAACCGATGACGGGCGAACGTGAGCACAGCAATCCCATATTCTTTAGAATAGTGTCCTCTTTTGTGGCCAGCCCCAAGAGATATACGAAGTTATACGAGGCTAGGCAATTCAGCGTTTTGTTGTGCTGTCTGGGAGCTCTCACACAAGCGCACTATTACAGAATCTCCGCTTTCTTTACCTCCTTCAAAAGGCTTAGTCCCACTACCACAAAGAACGTCTGCTTTTCCTTCTACACTCTCACCCCCTGGTTGACAGAAGCCTTGTAACCATCCTGCTATCGTAATGTCGTAATCACAGAAATCGCAAGAGCCAAAACCAATACTGCGAGTTCATCTCCGATCCCACCGCTTTTCTGCTTGATGGTTGGATGACGACTGTTCGTGATTCTACTCGTTTCATATTCAGTGTTTCAAATATTCAAATAAGGCACTTGGAATTTTGCGTTGCGCACGATTCGCACGACGGAACGCGGACTCTGACACCGGCCTTCATCCCAGCGGAACGTGATCCCACTCGCGTGCTTATACAGGGTTCCTCATAATGATACTTTCACCTGAAGATCTCCCGATAGTTGAGTATGGTGAGGTGGAGGGGGTATCATTAAAAGTAACAATGAATTTAGGATGAAGGCACCACGGCCTTTTTTAGCCCTGAAACATGGCTAGGCATGAGAGCGGTAGGACCAGGTACCCCCTGCAACAGTGCATACTGGCATCGAAAAAGTCTTTATACCTGCATCGCAATAAGGTCCAATGAAGACTTTCACTTTTTGAAGATGGTACATGTCGGCCGCCACGGCGACTCCTTCGTACGACTCACCGCAGCCATTTTGTGACACAAGCCTGGTTGTACCTATTTTATGGAGGAAATCATCAAAAGTGGATGTTACTCACTCAACATCGAAATCATCATCGAGGATTCTCTCCTTACGGAGCGATTTCCGCGACAGTTCAAGTACTACTGCATCGTTACGCAATGCGTTCAGAGCACCGATGTGACCGATTTTTATGCGAATTCGTCCTGAAAAATGATTGGCTTTCATATTTCCGCTTATCCTTCATGGATTGTCTATGGTGCTCTAGAGAGCCTTTGTTCTAAGCGGCCTGCCTGTTGGATGTTTATCGTTATCCGTTTTCTCATACCCTGCTACTGTTCTTTGAACTTTTGCAGCTGTACTAGGCTTCCTTTCCTTCAATTACGGAGAAAGTGGTAGTGATAGTGAACCTTGTGTTATACAATAACGGTCAAAATATATGCAACATCGGTGTTTTCGGCGTAACTCTAGTACACGTTAACGAAATCTGTCGTAAAAGGGGAAGCACATGCATTAGCGTCGAAGGTACTCGCAAAGCTTAAGGGGTAATTGAAGACATGGCCTTCTATTCTTTTAGACGCAACCACAATTTATGGGGGCATCCTTCTACGATTAAGCTCAGGAGGGGGCAGGAACTTTGGAAAAAATGAAGATGACTCACGCACCCTGGAGTCCCTTCACTCCGCCTAAGGCTTTGTCCCGTTGCAAATTATTATTAAAAAAAGGAAAAGTTACGTGTTTCAGATGCGCTGGCCACCTACATGACCCGTATCTTGCGAATAGCGCCTTCTTTCGTTCTTGAGATTCATGAAGAAGAAAGAGGAAATTCAGTTTATCAAAGCTTGATGAGGTAAATTCGTAAATAAAAAGCGAAATGGCAAAAGCCTAGACATACATGCAGAAATTCTAATTTGTAAACAAGTCTCTGGGCTTTAGATCTATGAAAGTTGTGGTCAAAAACTGTATCGCATTATTTTTTGGCCGCTACTGTGTGCTATTATCTTTATCCAGAAGGCTTTTCACTCTTCTACTCAACTTGATTGATGGCATTTGATTGATTTTTCACAAGAATCAGATGAAGAAAATAGAAAATAATAAGAAAAAATAATTATACTATAACAATAGGAAATTGTAAGTGAAACCAGCATGTCGAATGCTTCCATATGGCAAGGGCTGAAAAGATGCAATCTGACCGTTCTGAAATGGTGAAGATGTTAATGCTGCAGAGTAAGCTGATTCGTTGGAGTATGTGGAAAACGCTTCTAAACAGTAATCTATGTTTTTTCAGTAGTGGAAGGGTTCAGTAAAATTAAAACGAAAATATTTATTGAAGTCAACTACAACTGTTCAGCCATAACCGTACTTATCAATATCCTGACTCACTCTGCCACAGAAACAACGAATTTCTCGAGCACAATACCCATTATGATCCTCTCACCTACGGGGTCGAGCTTGTGGTCAATCCGCTATAGGGGAGTCGCATCCACTAGCTGGTAGGGGACATGGGGGACCCTCACAGAAAGAACGGACCTCGGAGATCATCCTTAAAGCAACAATCCAGGAACGAATTCGCGGGTAAGGACTACCTATAATGACGTTGCTATAGGTGAAGGTGAGAAGTTGGTCAATGGAGAAAGAAAAAGTAGAAAAAAAAACGTCGGGCAGGGGCTTAGACAGGGACTCCCCCTGCCGTTTAGGGAGACGTGTGTTGGACGAGTTGTCCGAACCTGCCCGTAGTACATGCGCTCCAATTGCAACTGCTGGCAAATAGCCATGCATGCTTGCAAATACATAACTATTTGCCAGCAATCGTAATTGAAGCGCGTTAGTTGCGTTCTTATAATCGACCTCATACAGCGCGGCGGTCCCGCAACGACCGCTAGTCGAGCACGCGCTCTGCACAGCGTATGTTGAGCGATCCGCCTCGGTATGGGTGATCCGCCCCCTCCAAGAGGACTTCGACCCCTTCCAGCGCATTTTAGAGGTAGGTTTTGAACTTAAAGACATTTCCTATAAACTTTAGTTGGGCTGGGGCATGTTTTGACCGCCTAATGACCAAGTAGTTGAAACCCTGCCTGGACTGTTGCTTTAAATATAAATGCGAACGATTGCACTTGGGTGCGTGGCAAAGGTCTGCACAATTGCAACTGCATCAGCCACCCACATTTGCGTAGCAACAAAAAAAATCACCCTTTTCGAAACAAAGATCCCCACCTCGCCCCACCTGAGGGAGGAACGTAAGTGCGACGGTCACCGCCGAAAGGGGAAGCGAGAACCAGTGCTAGAGGGGCAGAGACCCTGTGCTCGTGCGTCGAAAGGGTAAAGCAACAGCCTCACATCAAATTGGTGGGGGAACATCCATCGATAATGAGAATGTGGATACGGAGTTGACCGAAAATGAAAAAGGAGCAGAACAAACCGCTGATGAGGTCATTGAAGGAGACTCCTTTGTTCCTCTTGAAATGGAGAAGGAGCGTTCTTGGACGAGTGTCTGAACTTGCTCGCTCTATGGATCTACTAACCCGTGCGCATTTGAAGTTAGCCGCTAAAGCCCTAATCCACTTGCGTGCCATGGGGTGTGCACGAGGTATCTCGTCCGCTAGTTCACGCTAGCCGTCATTAGCTCACTTTTTAGGCTTAGCGCCATTGTCGCGCACTTCTGAGCCGCTACATGTACACCTTGCATTCGCATGCTACTCCATCCTACAAGGGATTGTTCGGCCCAACCTCATCTGGAGGTGTTGCTTTAAATTTACTTTTCCAAATCAGCAATTTGATCTCCATAAATCAGCTTACGAATTTACACTACTTCCAATAAAAAAATCGCTTCAATCTTAGCACAGCTAAACCAGCACGTTTCGAACTGCCCAGTGAGTTCATACTCGCCAGCAAATTCAATATTACTCTGGAAACCGTGCAACAAAACCAGGTGCTCCATTAGGTTTTTCTCAAACCCCTAGAATTCTTCACAACAAATTGAAGTTATGACTATTCTTCGACAGATAAATTATCAATCATTAAACTAGCCTTTATTATCGACCACTGCACTGATGTCGTCGGCATTTCCCCTGTAGGCAAGTGACATCGTGTCGCTAGCACTGCTGTTGACAGGCGCCTGAGGAGCCTCATCTCCACCGTCGCCGGTCACGCACCTCATGGCCAGCAGCGCAAATATAATTACCCTCATTGCTCTCTCTCAGATCAACTTGTGATCAATCTTCCTAAAAAAAGAAGCTGAACTCTGCGTAATGAATAGTCGCAACGTTTGTTGCCTCGGTCTGAAAATCCCTTATGGGAGAAGGCAAGGGCTAAAAACGGAACGTACTGGCGAAAAGGCTTGAGAGATTTTCTACAAAGGTAAGAAAGAGAAGAAGACTGGTGAACGGCGAGACAACAGACAAATGGAGGACGGCTATGTAGTGACGATTTGATAAACGATGAAATAAAATTGCTGGGTCCTTTCCACTTCAACCACCTATGTTGAGTGCTGCCAATGAGTTTTTCTACTGAAAGCTAATACCATCAAAATGATCCAAGCAATCCAATTACGTGAAACAAATTTTTCAAGACCTTTCCCATGCATGTACAATAACTCTGTCGTTTTCCTAGTGTCATATAATTCGATACTTCTTCAGAGCACCGTGAAATGCAATGGAGGTCGATCTGCAACCCGTCACATCATTTTGACTTTATCTGAGGAGAACTTATTTGCAGTTGTGGTGGATGCTCTCTTTTCTGCGCGGCGAGCCGATGATTGTTGATTTCGGTTTGAAAGGAAATTTAATTTCACAATGTGCGGGTACTGTACCTATTACGAGTTGCCAACTTTTCCATCAGTGGCATCTTCTGGCCTGACTTTGGTTCAGTAAGGTGCCTCTTGATAATGTCGCTCCGTTGTTTTGGAGCTCCTCTTGTGGCCGTTTGCCCTGAATCTTCGAACTTCACTGCATATCTTATCTGAAGCTCTTGTGGCCTTCTCAGCCCACGTTGTCCACACCATCGTATTCCTGTTCTACGGTTGGGCAAACTGGCGATCACGTACTTTGCGTAGTCGCATGTCTATCTCTACACATTTCGGCGGAGTGTAGCTGCCCTGCATTGCTCTCGCTTACGGGCCGGCACTCGCACCCGTAAGGAATTGTACATTTATCACCTCAGTATAGCTGAACAACATAGTTTCCCTTCATGCTTACTGGAGCGGCGTCCATCGCAGAAAATATAATACGATGCCAGAAGGCTCCTTGGCTGCGATGCAACCACAAGGCGTGTGGCATGTTGTTGTTACAGTGGACTTATGACTCATTCCACTCGTGATCATCATCAATGGAAATCCGCTTCTATTCGTGTCGCTCATAACTTTGCGCAGATCGCGCTTTATTGGTGCCGGTATCGACGTAGGTTGTATCCATCAAGCCTCATTAATACTTTAATTCGCTCCAGTAGCTGAGGAGTGATGATGCTTCATTGATGGTGTCCAAGTGTTTGCTAGAAATACCACAGTACCATAGGATGAAACATCAATTCATGGTGCTCAATGAAAATGTGCGAAGGTCCGGGAGGGGTTTTCTCCGTCAGCATATCGTTTTTACCGATTATTTTAGATTCTGTTGCACCAGGTGTGGTGGAGGAACTATTCGATCATCAAACAGTAATCCCGTCTTAGCATTTCGCATCCCTTTAAGTTCTTCATACACATGTAAGTCTCACAACTCTAAGACCGTGTCCTTAAAAAATCACAGCTTTGCACTGCTTTATTCGACAGGTTTTGATGGTTGGTTTACTCCCAACCTATCCAACCGGGGTGAAGTTTTGCTCATAATCCAGCAACAGTGTGATAACTGTTCATAGAAAGCAAACCACAAAAAGAACCCGGAAACGTGCTTTAATCCAGGTGGTTGCTTAATTTGGTTATTTCCAGCTTTTTCCCAAAAAAATAACGTTGTATCGTGACAAACTGACACCAAGCATTCAAATATATCCATTATCGCAACGTCTCTCTTTGACATGCAAATTGGCTACCGTCACGATAATTATCAGACATCAAAGTGATCAATTCATCAGTCTACTTTAGCAACACTCCAGCTTCTTGAGATTGTGTGCCGTTAGGCTGATAAAGACGAGATGTGAAGAAGAGGTGAAAAAAAGAGAGCCCAAGCAGCAGTGCTTCGCTTTGAGAGTTTTCAAATTTCGGACTTGCGCCGAGCCGACCGCAAGGGAAGGAACTGGGTGGGGTAGGCAGTTCTTACGGAACCATTTTCTCACCATTGGATCCTTCCAATTGCATGTGAACGTTTCGAAATAGCCATTCCTAATTTTTGAATCATTTGCAAGCACTATGCAATCAACTAACGTGGAATCTTTTGGCTGGCCCGTCCGCTCATTGCCAGCGACACCAAAATCACCAATTCCAAGTTGATGATAGTCATATCTTCAGATAGGATACGATAAGTTTGGTTACCGTAAGCTTCCACCAAAAGTCGAGAAGGCCTATTATGACTTTTACATCTACCAGCAGAAACATTATGGTCAAGTTGTGCAATTTTGTGCGCCTAGTTTCAGGGTGCTAGCGTGCTAAATACCAAGTAAAATAGGAGCAACAGTAGTGAAGTTATGAATATGTTGTAGAGCAATATTGAGCTATCAAGTGTGACAGATTTTGACGAAATTTATAATCACTTACTTTCATTTACTTGTGATATTACATCATAGTGTGCAGACTTATCGTTAGCCGTCACATAAGAAGAAAACTGAGAAATCGGGATGACTCTTCTAGTTATCCCACCCCTCCGAAGGTCGGTGTTATCCATGGTTCGTTTCAGCATGCAACCACATACCCCAACTCTTATAATTAGCGATATTCTTCCAAGACTGTCAGCTCAGCACTCTTTCTCTAAGACTTGTAAAGAATTCAAAAATTCTCCCCGTTCCCAAAAGCGATTTCTTCCCCACCAAACCCGTTTTCCTCTGTCACGACTATCCCCATTTGGAAACCCAGATTCCATCGTAATCCAGAAATTTGAAATAGACTCCCACCAAAGTTAACGATTTTCAATGGTCGTTTGACCACTGTAATAGGATATGAGAGATAAAATTGATAAACAAAAATCAACGAAAGTGGATGCAATGATGAGTGTGTGGAGATATTCAGCCCATCGAGTAGGATTTGGAACTGTGAAGAATCTCCAAAGAATTACAAACTATACAAACATACACAAACTAAGTTCGGAGGTCGAAGGTAAAATATGCCCAGTCGAAGGCAGGGCGGGTTCCCTAAGGGTGCGCGTTTCGCATCAGCAAAGGTATTTCCTTAGTAGCCTAGCAGGGCAGCATCTGCGCCGTTCGCTCTGCTGCACGTCCACCGATGGGTGACCCCTCACCGTTTGACTCAAGCTGTTTAGCAGAGGGAGCTTCAGCGTTGATGAGGGCAGCACCGATGAGATCCGCATACTTGCGGAAATCGACGGTCTGAAAAGGTACGTTTTCCGGGTTCTATGTTTTCTTGTTTTTTCTTCATCCCTGAATCTCTGCCCATTTCTCAGTAGAATAGCGTCTGGTGAGATCTCACCAGGGGAGGTCATTGGAAATGAGGTGTCCCCAGAACTGTCGCATTTGGCTTGAGGCGACCAGTTCAAAACTGCTTCCTCATTTGTACTAAACAATTTTCTGAGCAAAATTCGCTATGAGCCCATAGCGGTGAGGACTCTGAACCGATTTCCTTGTTGAGTTTGCTCTTTTGCTCTCGGCAACATAGCTGGAAAGACTTTTGGCATGACTACTGCATCGGTGATTGCCTTAGTATGTCTATATAAACAAACTGTAGAAAGTGGGGACCGTTGATGAGGATAGCATGCGAAAAAAAGCCCCATCATCCCGTTTGAAGCATCGTTTTG